TCCTAGTATCAGGGAATATACATAGTGTACTAAAAAGTCCCCCCCCCCCTTTTTTTTTACACAGCGATCCACGTTATCATGTAGGAATCAAAAGAATGTAGTCGCAATATTCCGTTTTTGCAAGTATACTCTCAAAGACGTGTTCTTTTAAATTAATTAAATTTCGTGCGAAGATATTGGCTACAACCGGCGCTATACACTTTTGAACTTTCAAAAGCGGTTTCTGCGGAACTACTTTTTCTAGTATACGCCCTTGTTCCAAAGAATTCCTTAACTCAGGATACACTTTTTCGCGCAGGAAGTTTATAAATGACGCAAGACTGGTCCGTTGTTGACTATGGAAGATTACACAAGTATGCACCAAAAAAAAAAAAAAGTTAGTGCTTTAAAAGCGGATTCTCGTGTAATATTCAGCCCTGGGTCTACGTATGACCTTGGTTTTTCCCTGTCTCCGCCATTTTCCAGGTGAATTGGGATTATTTAAAAATTAATTTTCCTTGGAAAATTTGATTGTCTGGAAATTAATGCATGATTGAGAAAAACCAAAGTAATCTTTGAATTTAGGAGCTAAAGATACTTAGCCAGACATATTTCGCATACCGCAAGTCTAAAAAATATGCCACCCTTTTTCTGATAACGAGTATGATATTTCGGGGGGGATTCACCCTCTACGCGGAGGGGGCCCCAGAAAAGTTTGGAAAATCATCACAATTTTAGGCTATTTTCAGGATCAAAATTGATTGATAGCACAGAGAAAAAATTTCAAAATTGAACGTGTAAAAGTAACGGATAGACTTGTGAAATGAAAAAGAAAGAGAACAAATCACAGCTACTAACAGCATCCAAGCACCGTTATTTCTAGAGAAACCGAGGCAGAGCTGGCGAATTAAATTATTGCTTTAATGTCTATAAGTCTGAAAATTATGAACCCAAGAAACATGTCAGCTAGAAAGATCTTTTTAGCCTCCTCGATCGGAAAATGAAACATACAATCTAGTGAGTACAATGTAAAATTTTGAAGGAGAGAGAGGGGGAAAAAGAGTGTTGAGTTTGGTTAAGAACAATGTGTTCAGTAAGGCAAGTAAAAAAAAGAGATAGGAACAAATCAATTGAATGCATCAGAGGTCTATAGCAGGAAGTCTCATTCAGGAATCATTTTATTGGAAATGAGAATATTTTCAGACGTGACCGAACAATTGGAGCCTAATTTTGTGAGATTGCATTACCAAATTGTATTGAAATTCACAGACTGAATGGCCTCTTTTAGATCCAATGTTGAATCCTGACTTTTTGCGAGGTATATGCAGTCATTTTAATGATATTTTCATAAATCCTTAAATGCTGAAGCCGGGTCAAATCGACTCGAGGCTTCCTAACAAAACCTGCCCCGCAGATTGTATGGGGTCGGTTCACGCGAGCTTTAGATGTTGGTCTCCAAATCATTCCAAAAAAGAATCGGACATGGACCTAAAAAAAAAATCGCTTATCAACTCAGCCGAAGACAGGAAAGACCTATTCGAGCCTCTTTTTTAACTTTTCTCCCGAATCTGAGCAACACCTCACTGGCAGCATATAGCGGAGCATTGCGAATTCACGCCTCGGGCCAATGCGCCTTCAATTTTGCAGATGCAATACGGATATCCATCAAGTACGAATATTCGTATCTCTACGCCGTCGTCAACGCACATCCTTTCCCTTGCTCTATTTCCATATTGTGTTATGGTTTCGTTTGTCTCACTTGTAGTGGTGCTTCAAGGGCTACGTGAGCAACACAGCCGAGGATAGGAAAAACGTAATCTGACCTCATTTAACTTTTCTGACCAACAGACATAGAGCAGAGCATTGCGAATTCACGCCTGACGACTCACACCATAGCACCTTAAATTGTTCATGTGCAATATGGACATCCATCTAGCACGGATAGTTGTATCGCGTTTAGATATCTCTTATTTTTGAAATTTGACATGATTTAAGCTCTGGTCACAACTTTTTTTCTCCTTTTATGTTGCTATCCGTCACAGGCGCGCATACTCGACGCGCCGTGGGAACGTATCTGCCAGTGGCAGATCGGTCTTAGGGCCTAGTTCCTCGAAACAGCCCGTTTTTAAGGAAAACCTTGGTTTTCCTAAAGATGTTGGAGGGAAACTATGGTCACAAGTGAACTCAGCGCTATCAATTACATTGGGATTAACCATAAAATTCCTAGCGTTTGTTCAGAGGAAGAAAAAGAAGAAAACTCAGTTGCACTCCTATGTTATGCACGACAGACAGCTTTGAGTCCATCTGCGTTTAATTTTTTACGATTCGGAAACCGTCTACTTATTCTGGCAGTAACTATAAAATATTTGGGAAAATTTATTTTTAACGCCTAATTTTGAATTTATTGTAATCCTTGAATTTTTGTCTCATTTTCGATCTACGAGGAGTAAAAACTTCGTCGTGGCATTGCAGAGGTGTAAACAATTTGAACGGGGGACCTGCAATCATGCATGTCATTTTTTTAAAACCATTTTATCTGTTATAAGTTCTTAATATTTGTTCTAGTTGTTAAATTCCATTTCAGGAGACTCGTAAAAGGATTTCACTCGAAAATAAATTCCTCACATTTTCTCAAGGACACCAAAAGAAATAGAGGGAGAAAAGATACAGTTCCAAGAAAGTTCTGAAAAATGCGATTGTTTTTAGACTATTCGTTCCCCAACAAGAAACTAAGCTTTTTCCTACCTCTTTGAATCTCTCATGATTCTTTATTTGGATTGAGGAAAAGGATTCGTCACTTAGTTAGTGACTTTACAGCCTTTCCGACAATTTTCAATTAAAACACAATTCGACGTAATTTTTGTACTTAAGGAAGTATCTACGAAAAGCGCAAACGATGATGTTAACTCGTTTACCTGCACTGGAAAAAAAAGTCTCTTGGATTCGGAGTTCAGACTCTCAAAAAATACTCTCGAATCAATCGGATTTTTGCTTGAACAAATAGGAAATCCGCTTGAATTAAGAGGCTGGGTTCGACTCAAGGAAAACGATTGAATCAAAAGTATTTTTCTTGTCGAATCTTGAGTCTGGATTTTGGATCCAAGATACTTTTTTTTCCATCCTAGGGAAAAAATTAAGTAAGACTGAACATTTTGAAATCTCGCCACCGACAGACATCGATTCCAAGTTTGCTACTGCGCATTGCTGACAAGTGAGAAAAACTATGGGTTAAATGGGAACATTCACCCAACAGCGCTATTTTGTGAGGAGAGGTGGGTGAAAAGTTGACCCACTGGACTAAATGACACTATATTTCTACTCCAATTTGCTAACTGTTACTCCCTTTTACTGACAATCACTAGGTATTTCTATCATCAATTTTTCCGGATATATTTTTAATGCGGGGCAAAGGTGAAATTAAAAATCTGTCTATGATATTATGACATTAACTTACCGCAGAATTGCAGGAACATTTCATGCAGGAGTCTTTCAGTAAAATGAAGGAGAATGGGTGATGAGACGGTCTTATTCAAAAGTGGTCATTTCCAATCTCCCCCTGTTCTACGAAATACTTTCAGGGTCGATAGAGGATCACATCTCAAGTCCAAAACACTGACGATTTTTGAAATCAAACAATTACGGATAGAGGGGAAGGGGGGGGGCTGAAAGTTAAAACCTCAAACTAGCATAACTCGTGAACGGCTTGTCGTAGAGAGATGATCTTGGTGTCAAAATTTAGAAAAAACCGCCAATTTTAACATGATGATGACAAAATTGGTCCATTTTGAAAATTTCACCCATTGCTGTCACGTTGGCGTAGCTCAGATTTTCAATTTCTTTCATTTTTAGTTGGGGCGATACCTTTTTAGGTCACTCCTAGCAAAATCATTCGTCAAAAATGACAAGATCAGGATAAATGATTAATATGCGATGGATACAGGGGAATCAAAGTTTTCGATCATAAAAAAATTTATGTTTAACACCTTCAACGGTTCTCTGGGTATAAATAAGAGGAAACAAGAGGAGCTGCTAATAAAAGCGTACCATTTGAGCGTTTTAAAAAATTTAAGTCCATCCTAGAGAAACAATTTGAAACAGAGTCATGATTTTTTAAAGTTGATTCAGCGAGCGTCAGCTGAGGCTACTCCTGTAACATTCATATGTCTCGATATTTTCTTCTTTTTTTTAATAATTTTCTTAGGGAATGAGCTAATGGGGTATCGCAATTCGTGGTCGGTTTGGGGGCATGGGTGATCTTGGGACTCGGAACAAACCAGGTTCTAGTGTACCGCACCCATTTTGAAAAATCATATCTCTCCTCCAATTTGTTTTCCGAGGATGAACTTGTGCTTGTTTTGAAGCTTAAACGGTCTCCTTTCACCAGAAAATATTTTTGTTACTTTTAACTGCAAATCCCTTAACGTTACAGCTGAAAGTGTGAAAATTTGAATTGCGGCAACGTGGCAGCAATGGATGAAATTTTCAAAATGGACCAATTTTTAAAACATTGCCTGAAAGCATGTGGTATTTTCTAAATTTTGAGACCAAGATCACCTGTCTACAACAAACCATTAGCGAGATATGCGAGTTTAAATTGTTTACTTTGACTCCCTTCCTTCTCCCCCCGGGATTGTCCGATTTCAAAAATCGACAGTGTTTTGGACTCGAGAAGTAATCCTTTATCAACTCTGAAAATATTTCGAAGATCAGGCCAAGGTTGAAAAAAGGCAAAGCTTTGTTTGCAGTCCGAAGACACAATTCCCCTTTGCCTGCACTTCTCTGTAATATACCGTTAAAAAAAGGCAGCGTTCGGCCCGCAGTCCGGACAAGAAAACTTCTAAAAGTCAAAGTTCTAAAATGAGCCACACGCTTCATATAGGTATTGTTCATATATTCTCGCGGAGCGCCCTAACTCCTGTGCAATCCGCAGTCGCGCCACCACCGTCGTTTTGCAATCTGCACCCGAAATCTATTGCTGACAGCTCCCGTGTCCGGCACCGTTACGATCCGTGGCCTTGTTTTTTGCGGTGTTAAGGAAGTATTTAAATCTGTATTCAAAGAAGAGTAATATTTAAAGCAGTGAAGTTTATTTCAACCAGTTTGTGATTTGATAAATAACGAAGGATTATTTCCTTTTTAATTGAAGCTCAGTGTCGTGTATAGTTCCAACAACGCCGCCGCAACTCAAGAGCAACTCAACGCCGTCGTTGGATGAAACAATTGTGAGTCTCACTAAATTGTGTTGCCAAAAAGAAGTTAGCTTCAGCATCATCTTATTGGACATGAACTGTCTCGTATTCGATTACGCCGTCACTTTTAGTACTTTTTCTGAAGTAAAACGGTTCATAGTCGAAAGAAGCACTTTTGAACCTCACACCAAAAGCCTCTTAGTGGGACTCTGAACAGGTTGATAATTGCATCAGGGTAAGCAATCACTATATATGAATATTATTATAATTTTGATAAAAATAAATAATTCCTATGTGTACCGGTATGTATTAAATAGACTTACGTTGTCGACTTTTCCCTATAGACATTATTAATGGTTACCGGAGGAAGCATAATCACATCGGCATATGGGTTGGATTCAAAAATAATTTGAAACTGTCAACATAGTCGAAGAGACAAGTGTTGATTTCCGCATATTACTAAATAATATACATATGATAGAATTCTTATGAACCCAATTCATAATCAAGAACTTTATATAAGAGAAATTCTTCTTCTTAATTTGAAAAAAGTTTCTGCAAATATACGAGAACTTATCATTCTTAAACTGTACATTATAGTAGAGAAATAGTAAATTTTACTAAAATTCCGCTAATAATTTATTTCAGGGAAATCCATGGAGGCATGCAGGTGTCAGAGGTACAGGCGTCACCATCTTTTTCTGAATCTTTTTCTGCATCCTTTTTCGCTGGACAACCGTCCGCTTCAACACCCCGTGCATCCTTCTTCGCTGGACGATCGGCCGCTTCAGCATCCCCAGGAAGAAACGTTTTGAATCAAAAGGAAACCTTCAATTCAAAACGACGATGCTCCGAAATAGAGAAAAGGTCCAATGAACTGGATGATAATAAAGTAATCGTTATATCTAATGCAGATAGACCTAGATCACCCAACTGGTATGTAATTATCGTTCCTCTAAATATTTCAAGAGAGATGAGTCCGTGGTTTAACAAGTGCATAACGTAGATTATTAAAACTGAAAATGACAATGTTGAAATGACAATGCAACATTGCAAATGTAAAAACTGTACTCTGCATTGGACTAGTTGCGTATGTGAAAACAGTAATTACGAAATAAAAGCCACTTGTTGCACATTGACAGTAACTTCTTGTATATCTGCAAGGAGTGTTCGCCGATCAGCGAGAAGTAATACGTAATTTCAAATAAAATAATCAAAATCGGCGATGAGTATTATCTAATTAAAATGGAAGAGTGTGAGATGCTTCGGAATAGGTGGGATGAGTGTCTCCACCACTTGACATTGATTGTTCTCTAGTACATGACAGTTTCGGTAAACCAGTTATAATAACTGGGGTCATTAAAATCTTTCGATTTTTTTTCGGAATACTTCCCAAAATCGGGTACCCGCTTCTTCCAATGTCTTCCTCCGGTGGCCCCCTCCTCACCCCCCCCCCCAAAAAAAAAAAAAAAATTAAGGAACGCCCATTATAAATATAAAAAAACCTATTAATTATAGAAAAGATGACTTCAAGGTTATTATGTAATTAATGTTATATTTCGATATAAAAGATATCCCAGGGAGCGGTTTTTCTTGGGGGTGGTCGATGTTTTAAGTCCTTTGCAATTTGGCAATGGAAGGCAATGTTCACATACAGACCAGCAAATTCACAGTCAAACTGAATTTGGTGATAAGGACGAGGTAACGCAGGGTTATTAGAAATAGCCTGAACGCCTAAGAAGCCAAAGCCGGGGTGGACATTTTAATGACGGACCACGAAGAGTGAGAGTGTTTTAAAGATTTATATTCGACGATTTCCTTCGTCGCCGTAAGTAGTTTAAATAAAAATGGTTATAGGAATATTTTGTTAGCAGATAAAAGAAAAACACGGCAGAAAGTGGTTAACCGTCATTTTATGGAAAATTTAGGATACGGAGCCTTTGGGATTATATTCTTTAACACCAATAGATTCAGATTTTCGATTTTCAAAAATAATTGTATGCAGCAACGCCATCTAGAGATATTTAGTGATGTTATTACTAAATTCTTCTTTTCCCATATATCAGTGGGAATGAAAGTTTCTTGCCACAAAAACCTTCCGCTTTTCCGCAGATGATGATTTTTGTGTGGTGTACAGAAGTTAAAACTATCACTTATTCCTCATCAACAACTATCCTTTTTTTTTAATTTTAAAGGTACTTTCACTTTCATTTAAAAACGTCATTTTTTTTTTAAATTGAAAGATAGAATGACGAAGAATAAGTTTTCGTTGTCCTACATTCGCCGGTGGAATTAAATTTATTTGGTGATGGCGGACCCTTACGAAAAACCAGTGGATGCCCTGGGATCCTCTTTTGGAGGCCCGAGGATGATAGCCGTACTTAGAGTAAAGCTAACTCTAATGTCACAGGATGTCTCATCAATACAAAAGCAACCGTAACTGTGAAGGCAGCATAGTAAAGTCGGTGACGGTCCGTCCACCACGCAGCGTAGTGTTATGCATCCTTCCTATACTCTGTTATGTATGTTTCGTTGGGACGATTGATACGTAGCAAGGACTTTTAGAAATATACGGACGGGCTCCTTCTGCTAAAAGGAATATTGAATGATTTAATTTTCCCCTTTATATAAGGCAAAGAAAATAAAAATATTTTTTCGTTACGGAAAAACGCATGGAAAAAAAAAAAAAAAGCAATGAAGTAGGAAAACTTCAAGTACCATATATAGGGTTACTCATTTTCTAAATTTGGTGGCGAATAAAAACTTAGACGAATAGGTCATAGTATACAAAGGGGCTTGGACTTGTAAAAATTCTACTATGTACTTCCCTTGGTGTGTTCGAAAAAAAGAAAAAACTGGTGAGGAGTATTTATAAAGTCCCTAATTTAAAAAAAGCGAAACTGATTTCGTTAATGGCGAGTAGGAAATAAATATATATTAAGGGCCCTTTGACTTTTAAAGACGGATTATATTGTTCTCGATAAGCTCTTTCGGCTCAATAACCGATACTTGCAGGTTCGCAACTCTTCATCGTCGAAATTCATCTGCTCGTTTGCTGAGTTGCAATTTCTTATGGGTAGATAACCAATTTACTCATCGCAGATTTGCAACTACTCTTTCGCTGATTTGCATTTGCTTTTTCGTGAATTCGCATTAACTAGATGCGGATTCGCAATTAGTTGCAGCCTCTCGCTTTCTGGTATCTGGAGAAATATCCCTCTGGCAGGAATCTCGCCACAATTTGGCCCTATAGTAGGGTCATCGGGCTCCAGGGCGCCCGAGATGGGTAAAAGATGAACGCCGCAAGCTTGCTGATCAGCATTCATATCAAATACGAGCGTCAGATTCGTGGAGTATTATCGAATAAGGGAATCGGAACCTTTAGGCTCGTTCAAAACATAAAATCTACATTCGTAGTTACTCAGATCCCGTGGATATTAAATGGAGATTTTGGAATGGCGCCGTGTTAGCAAAGAACGAACACCCGCTGAACCATATGCGACCCCTAAGGGATTGTGATGCAGGGATGTTCGGTTGAGATAAGATTCCGTGATTAGTTTCCCGTTGTCGTGATGACGAACTTGCTATCATGGTCTTATAATAGAGTCGTGTATGTAATTGCTAAGCGGCTTCTTCGTTGCATGCAAAATATGTCTGTACAAACGTTAAATTAAGTACTCACGCTGAGGTGCGTTTGCCATTGTGAATATGACGACAGATTTTGAATTTAAATAGCGAATGTTCGACGGTATCCGACACAAGACCACTGGCGATTTCTAACCTGTAGAGAAACCAAAATAAAAATTGTAATTTTATACTAAGGAACAGGCATGTCTTACCGCATATCCTAGATGATGTTTCAGCTCAAGTAAACCCCGACGGAACCAGTAATGTACTGCCTGCCATCTCAAATGGATCATTCATTAAACATTCAGAGTCTCGCGTGGGATAGAATATCTAAAAGCGATAGTTCCACGATCGAAATGCTTGAATACATATTATCGTCGGGACATTTTCGGTTTCTGTTTGTGAAGTCGCGGAGCATCATTTGTGTTAAACGTGAACGTCAGATTGGTAAAACTGCGTTGAACTCCAATAGCAAAACGCTTATCGCCTGGTAAAGACAATTTTAACATTCATACGCTTGCGGATCAGCATCCGTATTAAATAAGAACGTCATATAAAGAGTGCGAAGTCAATGCGCAATCATGAAATATCGTATCCTCGGTAGTAGTATCGTAACTAACCCCTGCACCCCCCCCCATTTGTCCCACTCCCCTCGGCTCCGCACCCTCGCGCGTTCTACTATACTCCCTTTTCTCTTTGGAATGCGCGGTTATTATTTTTCAAGTCGTCGCCTTCCTTGTAGACTCCTTGATCAGCATCCGTATTAAATCAGTGTGTCAGCTCCGTGGAGTATCCTAAAAAAAAGGGAAAAAACGAACAAAAAAAAACTCTGAACTTCTGCATCCTTGAAAAAAATAAACCTGTCGCTTATAAATACGTTTATCCTCGGTGTAGTAGTAAACGTAGATTTCAGTTTGGAGGCGTGTTAGACAGGAACAAACCCCCGCTGTACTATATGTAGGCCCCCTCATTCACTACCTCATTCTCTGCAAAAGTACTGGCGTCGTTCGCAAAGTTGCTCATCAACGTCCGTATTAAATATAAGTGTCAACTCCGTGGAGTATTATCGAGGAACAATCTCGGGACTTCCAGCCTTTGTAAAAACACAGTTGTCATGCGAAAAACCACTGACCCCCGTCTTTTTTTTTTTTTTTTTTTTTTTTTTTTTNACAGCCACCGCTAAATGATGGGAAGATTACAACAACAGTAGAAACAGAAGTACAAAGGAAGAAACGAAGGAAGAAACGAAGAGAAACATCCATGCCACTCCACGGTGACAAGATCTGAGACCATGAAATCTTGCCACCGAGGCCGGGATTCGAACCCGGGACATCCAGGTCTGTGATCAGTTGCGCTAACCACTGGACCAACCGATGTCGGCGACCCCCGTCTTTATCAAATGTATTATTGGGTTGGAGCAAAATTAAAATAACAAACGAACACCCGCTGTATTATACGTAGGGCTCGAGGAGCCTTCGTTGCCTGGTAAAACGACTCCGGTATCCGTAAATTCGCTGATCAGCATCCGTATTAAATGGGAGCGTTAGTCTAGTAGCGTGAAACCAACGCAACTCCCCGAACTATTCCGTTCTCATCAAAAATATTATCGTCGGCCGCAAGCTTGCTGATCAGCATTCATATCAAATACGAGCGTCAGATTCGTGGAGTATTATCGAAAAAGGGAATCGGAATTTTTAGGCTCGTTCAAAACATAAAATCTACACTCGTAGTTACTCAGATCACGTGGATATTAAATGGAGATTTTGGATTGGTACCGTGTTAGCAAAGAACGAACACCCGCTGAACCATATGCGACCCCTCCCTAAGGGATTGTGATGCAGGGATGTTCGGTTGAGATAAGATCCCGTGATGAGTTTGCTGTTGTCGTGGTGGACTTGTTATCATGGTCTTATAATAGACCGTGTATGTAACTGCTAACCGGCTTCTTCGTTGCATGCAAAATATATCTGTACAAAAGTTAAATAAAGTACTCACGCTGAGGTGTGCTTGCCGTTGCGTATAAGACTCCAATTGAAATATGACGACAGATTTCGAGGTTAAGGTAAATTGTAATTTTATACTAAGGAACCTAAGGCACCTCTCAGGGGCCTTTAGCCTTACTAGAAAATGTTACATGCGAAATTTGCATGGAAATCAGCCGCATGAAAAATTGGGACGGAAACCACGATCATTTCCATGCCGTATTCTGCATGGAAATCAACTGGTTCCATGCCATATTCGCATGGAAATCAGCTGGTTTCCGTGCAAATATGGCATGGAAATTAGCTGGTTTCCGTCCCAATTTTCCATGCGGCTGAATTCCATGCACCTTATTCCGTGTGGAATTTTTTTATGGGATCGAGCTAATCTGAAAATTTTTATTTATACTTAGTGAGATGATTATCCTCTTCAAATTTCCACCACCAGTACTCAATTTTTTAAATTTGAAACTAAATCAAAATAAGTTGAGAGACTAATAAAATGACCTAAAATTCTGTTAATTTATTAAAACAGCCCAGGTAAAAAAGACGACTACCCCTGTGACTAGGAGGGTACGTAAATGGAACACCTGCAGGTAGTCACATGACTACCTTTGGATGTTCCAATTAGGTACGTACCCTCCTGATAACAGGGGAAGTTGTGGCGACTAATCTAGGCGTGCACATGTCATGCAAGCATGCTCAATAAAATAGAAAATGAACATAAAACACTCACCAACTTGCTCGAATCTGTAATCGACCAGGTCAGGAAAATCCACTTGACAATGATGAATCCAAATTTCCAATTAGAACTGGTATAAGTACGGCGGAACACTTAAAAACATTATGGGTGCATTGTAAAACAATCTTAGGCACTCTCTAACGCAAGAGAAAAATTAGCACCATGATTTAATAGCTGATCAAAACAGAACAGCACTCTCAGAAAAGCACTGACACAACACCATTTTTCAGTTTATTTTTACTTAGAGGAGAAAACTGCATTTTTCAAAAGATGCGTCATCATTGCTCGACAGCAATGAATAATATAAATATTAAGCTTAAATAATTTCACAATTTACTCCGATCATTGATGATATTAAGGTAGCCATTGATTCTCTACCCAACATTCCTCTTCCATACATAACAGGGAACGTAGAGGCATAGAGCAAATGACACTGGACAGCAACGTACATCTAGTAAAGGCAAGTTCCTGAAAGTGTCGATCTGCAAAAATACAAAGCAAGAGGCAGATCATTAAATTGATCCACGTACAATTAATGACCGTCAATAGAGACAGACATTAAAATACATTATAGTAAATCAACCACAATTTCATAACAGAACTAAGTTTTCGTGAGAGTTAGACCCTTTCTTCTAGAGGGACAAGGGCCTTCCTTAGACCTTTTCCTCCAAGAAAAACTGAAAAATGGACCACTTTACTACTTACGGGTCTGAGCTGCTGAAAAACTCGCACACTCACCGTCTATTGTTGGCAAATGACCTAATCCATCGCTGAGTATACATAGGATGGGAAGTTGGCACATCCGACATGCAGAGCGGTTCATTCTTGTTTCAGTTCTGGTAGTATTTTAAAATTTAGCAACTATCTGGTGCCTTAAAAGAGATGAAATAAGTGCAACAACAGCACCATTGCAAATGTGCGATTTGTCAAATTTCTAGGGATGTGGTGTTTCAAGTTCTCGCCAATAAATTAGCCAGCCAATTCAAGAGTGTGATAGAGGACACGCAGTGAGGATGTCTTTCTTTAAATCAGTATAGAACGGATGCTGGAAAGAGCAGTCATTCCACAGTAGGTATAACTGAGGAAAGAAAAGAAGAGACAAATGTCACATCCAAAAATTGCACCATTCAACGGATATTTACATGCTAACCAATGGGCCAACTGATGATTGATGCATCCAGACTAATGTGACTTTTGTCTCTTCTTTTCTTTCCCCCGTTAACAGTTGGCGAACTATTTGGGCGAGAAGAGAGTTCTCAATTTTTAATTTGAATACTTGGAGATGAAATGGGTGCAACAAAACTTTATTTGTACTGGATTCTCTTGAAGACATGAGGAAAATACGGGTAGTATGAGGATGTTCCTACAGACTTACTGAGCACTCGCCTGCAATAGTTGGGAAGTTTCTACTTGAGATAGAGTCCGCTCCAAATAAGATATGTACCTCCTCAATAGTGGAGATCCACCATCTCAATCATGGTCTTAACATTCAATGCTAAATTGATGAGAGATGATCTCCTGTCTCATTGAAGGATAGTGCGTAGACTTACTTGACTTAGTCTTTCCGCTCAACTTTGTAACGGCATTTAGGAATAGCACATGGTAGTAAATGCATACAAAAACCAAGAAAATAGAATTCACAATTACCTCGCGCTAGTTAGAATAGATAGATCGACAGAATCGTAAATCGTCAAAGCAAATTAAACTGAAGTTACTTCATCAGTTTGCTTGACAATGTGTAATACTATCCTATACATAGGATGGGAAGTTGGCACATCCGAGATGCAGAGCGGTTCATTCTTGTTTCAGTTCTTTTAGTATTTTAAAATTTATCAACTATCTGGTGCCTTAAAAGAGATGAAAAAAGTGCAACAACAGCACCGTTGCAAATGTGCGATTTGTCAAATTTCTAGGGATGTGGTGTTTCAAGTTCTCGCCAATAAATTAGCCAGCC